CTAATGTTCTATTGAAAGGCTTTAGAATAGAAACCCATTGGAAAAATTAAAAAAAAATTATTTTTCAGTTTTTTTCAAATTTGAAAAATCTTTATTACCTTTTGAGATATTTGCAAAAAACTAAGCTCCCTTTTTTAGTTAATTGTTAATAACTCTTACAATTTTTGCAAGCGGAACTGTTTTTCAAAAATCATCTATATGCTATTCCGAATCGAATGACGACACCTCATTTATCATTTTTGGATGCTCAAAAAAAAATTGGTCCAAATGGCACTTGTTGACTGGTCTACTATATTCTAAATTACATTTCAGTTTGCTACCAACCCGCTTTGGTAGACGGTGTTTAAATTGGACGCGTGTTGGGTTGTGTTGTCGAATGTATCGCAGAATAAAATAGAAGTAGGAACGAGAACTCCGAGTTTACGAATAATCAACTGTACGTACCTATGTATTTCCAAGGAAATATCTGTTAAAACCGTGACAGAGACAAATATTTTTATAAATTTACTGGTGGTAGGACCTCTTGTGAGTCCGCGCGGGTAGGTACCACCACCCTGTCTATTTCTGCCGTGAAGCAGTAATGCGTTTCGGTTTGAAGGGTTGGGCAGCCGTTGTAACTATACTGAGACCTTAGAACTTATATCTTAAGGTGGGTGGCGCATTTACGTTGTAGATGTCTATGGGCTCCAGTAACCACTTAACACCAGGTGGGCTGTGAGCTCGTACACCCATCTAAGCAATAAAAAAAAAATCGTTAGACGTTGGACCAAAGCAATGACATCATTGAATTTAGCGGCAGCGTGTTACATCGACTCAGCACGCGGCACGCGATCATCATGACGTGCCGCTTCTGACAGGGCAATGCTAATTTATTGTTTATTCACTTTTATTTTATCCTATTCGTTAATATTTGAATCGCAGACCCACCTAAGATTGAGTGATTATTATTGGAAACTTTAGAAATCACATTGTAAATGCTGCTGCCAATTTGTATAAATACATTTTAAATTTAAATTTACCACCTTAATTCTTTCCGGAGAAGATCACTTCTTGGTGTTTAGAGAAATTACAAATGTCTTTTGTTAAGTAGTTTGAAGGAATTTTTTAAAATTAAAATATTTTTGTTACTTTTGAAGACATTTACAAACATTTTTAAATTATATCAACTTACGACCGACACAGAATGCAGTTTCACCACTGATAATAATCGGCAAGATACACAAGCCTATTTTATAAAAATAATATGATTAAAACTGGAATAGATCTTTAGGTTTTTTTCCTACATATTCGCTGGTAGGTTAAAGGGCTATTCCAGACACGCCCGGACGGATAGATGAGCTCACGGGCTCAATCTGAAAGATAAGCAGGAGCAGTGCTTCGTAGAACCTACCACCGGATCGGAATCGCGACCCACTGAGAAGACCCGGCGAGAAACTCAGTAAGCTGTGTCTATGGGTTAGTTCGCTTGTCGAACTCTTCCTCGTAATCGACGAGTTCGACGAGGATGGTTACCTACCAGTGTTTGAGGGTCCTAAAAGCACCGACAGTGGATCCGAGGGTTCCGACAAGACATGTTTCAGGCGACGGCGGCTTTGTGTTGCCCGTCGCAGTTAGATAAGAGTTCTTTTGCGTACTGTTCACTGACCAAAGTTCTTTTCAGCACTGTTTAAGTATAATGTACACTTCTTACGGTAAAAAAGGCAATTTATATGTTTCCTTAAAGTAAGCGGAATCTAGTAGATATTTAGATTAACAACAAAATCAATGATTTAAAAAAAAAACACTATTCGCAACGGCGTCATGTCAATTGCTGATTGTCATTTATATTTTCTTATGTTAAAATAAAATTAGTGTGCCAGTGTGAATTGACCAAAAAGTACCGATCCTCCCACATATATATGCATACAATCGTTTTTGTTTTTGATAGAATGCGCATTAAAAAGTATCAACATTTTACTAGAAACAGTTAAAATTGAAAAACACAGTTTTAGTGATGTAATTAAACCAGCATTAGGGTGGAAATTGGATTGAATCGAAAATGATCCAGAGGTACCCAGGTACCCAAAATGCGGTGATCATGTCTCCGATGACCTGGACACGAGACGGTGAGATGCACTTCGCTGTACTTGACATAAGTGTCTTCAGATCACACCCCGGTCACCGTCCTCGTCAAACCCATCGCTCGCGACAAAGGGCTCGACGAGCGAATTAACCCATAGACACAGCCCACTGAGTTTCTCGCCGGATCTTCTCAGTGGGTCGCGATTCCGAGCCGGTGGTAAATTTTGCGAAGCACTACTCTTGCTAGGGCCAGTGTTAGCAACACTCCAGTTTGAGCCCCGTGAGCTCACCTACATGTTAGGGCGAAGGTGAAATAGCTTCTCAAGGCTATCATCAGCAAAAAAATCAGATCACACAAAAAGGCCTTAGACGGACGCATCAAGATGCTCAGCAACTAGCCAATGATTAGAGGAAGGCGAGGAAATTCGTTCTTAATTACCACATTCTTTGATCCGACGCAATTTTTAACTCACATGAAACCAACAAATGATATGATGATTATATAGCAAAATATATACCTAACTTAATAAAAATGATAAGAGCTTAAAAATCAATTTTCATATAAATAGCCGAAGACAAATTATAGCAGTCAAGATTGTTTTGTTATGTTTATTAGCTTTTGACGAACAAGATGTATATACATAATAATATATATCAATCGATTTCAAGACAATTAATCTTAAGGTGACCAGGTTGGAATATCGATCATTGAGCGAATATTGGTAACATCATAACAATGTATTCAGAATCCGTTTGCGTGTCGATAACGATTATATGTTTTTAAAGAATCGATTCCATCTGTGTTTAACACTGAATCTATGCTTTGCGAACCGATAAGTCGTCTTAGTTCAGTAAGCTTATCCGATTGCATTCTAAATTAATTAGAACATTTTTTTGTATATCACGAACAAAGCTCCGCTACCGTATCGAGAGCAGCATCAGATGTGCTTATTGTCAATAATACGAAATTAATCTTTAAATCGACGACGATAGAGTAGATTTTTGCTATTCCAAACTTCAGTGTAACAATTAAATTGGATTATTACATACCCAGGTATTCCAGAACTTAAAAACATTTTGTTTGGAGTGTTGGATTGCTGTTTGGATACGATGTTGGCATTTTAATTTTTCTACAAACATGTTCGTGTTTATACCCAATTAAAACTATAGATATTATTATCATTGGACATAAAGGCAACGATGAACAAGCCAAATTAGGTGTAGTTGAATGTAAATAATAGTCATTGTTAATCATCATTTACTATCTACATCTAATGAAATACATACTTGACAAATGGTCACGATTGACTTCCACGGTGAAAGAATAACATTGTGTAATGTATATCAATCAATCAAGCCTACAAAATTATAATTTACGTAATTACTTGTGGTAAGACCTCTTGTGAGTCCACACGGGTAGGTACCACCACCCCGCCTATTTCTGCCGTGAAGCAGTAATGCGTTTCGGTGTGAGGGGTGGGCACCCGTTGTAACTATACTGAGACCTTAGAACTTGTACCTATCTCAAGGTGGGTGGCGCATTTACGCTGTAGATGTCTATGGGCTCCAGTAACCACTTAACACCAGGTGAGCTGTGGGCTCGTCCACCCATATAAGCAATAAAAAAAACTTAAAACTCAATTATCTGATTTTAGTCAATTATATAACATTTTTAGTTTCAGAAATTTGAAAAGTAGTACTTAAGCAAAATTCCATTATTATTTATATCACAGTTTATAACGAAATTATTATTAGGCACGGTAAGATTATATTGGCAATATAATCGTTGCAAAACAATAAAACAAAAAAAGTTGATAAAAGAAGAATCTTAAATGCCATGGCCAGAGTTGAAACATTCGTGCTCTACAAGAAAATATTGTTCGCTTCGGCTACATATGCAGTAGTTTCATTTGCATTACATTCCACTGTGGTGATAGATAATGTGAAATTCATGAAGGAATGGATAAATGTTGTGTTAAATCTTTTTTTGTCTTTAGAGATGCGTGAAATTGTTTCAAAAATTATTAATCGTTAATATTATAATGTTACAAAATGATGACTATATTAATTTTTTTAATTTTTTATTGCCTAGATGGGTAGACGAGCTCACAGCCCACCTGGTGTTAAGTGGTTACCGCATTCCATAGATATCTACAACTTAAATGACGCCGCCCACCTTGACATATGAGTTCTAAGGTCTCAGTATAGTTACAGCGGCTGCCCCACCCTTCAAAACGAAACGCATTACTGCTTCACGGCAGAAATAGGCAGGGTGGTGGTACCTTAAGTGGTAATTTAAGACCATGATAATCATATCATATGATAGAACGCTCTTGGACTCAGTGGAGTCACGGTCTATGCAGGGTGGCTGGCAAGAGCTGGATGAGAAAAGCCCAGGATCGTACTTCGTGACGTGCAATTGGAGACGCTTACGTCCACCAGTGGATTGCTACAGGCTGATGATTATATGACGTTTTCTAGGGTTTAAATCTATCACATGTGACTTCGAAACTAACAATTTTCGGACAGTTTGTCTGTTTGTTTGTTTAACTATTTTTTCATTCATAAATCTCTCTACGACCAATGACCAATCATCAAACCTCATCCTCATTCCTTCCACCTATAATTCCTTCCTAGCGATATATCTGTGGTAAGCATACGAACAATTGCACACCGTCCCAAATGACACAATATGTTAATGTTGCACACTAAATTTATTAATTGTGAAACTTGCATAGTACACACAACACAGTATCGCTAGTTCAAAATGTTTTCATAGATTCCACATATATGAGTATTGTTTCATTCAACAATGACGTGTCCGATGTCATTGACCCTACAGACGTATGCATATTGGCATTGACGTGAGGACCACCATAAGAAATTTGGAAGGCTTATTCTTACTTATATTTGCGTAATTTAAAACAGTGCATACATACTTTGGCGCGTTTCCAGACGAAATTGAACGGCGGCGTCTGGTAATAGAAGACCGAAGTCTGATTCGCTGGGAAGTCAGGATCTTCCCAGAGCACCGCCCGCTGGAGGCACGAGTTCTTAATGCGCTCGTAATCAGTCATTCTGAAATGAACATTAATGTTGTAGCCGCAGGGTTTACTTCGCCATTTCGATGATATTGTTCATGATCTAGTCGAAATGTTTTCCAGAGATCTTTTTGCCACGTACCATCCGGCTTCGGAATGAGCTCCACGGTGTTTTCCGAGCGCTATGTCATGCCCTTCTTCAAACGAGGCTTGTGGAGAGTACTTAACGGTAGGCAGCGTCTTGACTCTGCCCTTGACATTGCTAAAGTTCATGGGCGACGGTAAACACACTCCATCAGGTGGGTTGTATGCTCGTCTGCCTACAAGGGCAATAAAAAAAAGGATGTCGAATTGCGCAATTTTACAGCTTTGTATCTATCAATGGTCTCACTTAACCTACCATTTAGCACAATGATAATTATAATAATATAAAGACAAGATTCTTATAAATTGTATGCATCGGTGTAAAATTATGTATACGACATTTTGAAATCGCCATTGTTTTTTTTTTTTATTATTTACACACTTTTAATTAACTTTTAATACACTGCAATAGACAGAACAGTAATATTCTAGCAATGTAATATAATAATGTGTTTAACATTTCCGCATCCTATTATTTTCTTACAAACTATTTACGTGAACTGTTTACCCAAAATGTAAACACAGTGACAACCAAAAAATTGTCATCAAATTTCAATAAAATGCCACAAAACTAATACTAGAGCAAGTATATACATATGCACCAAATTTGCGTTCCATTGCACTCAGAACATTTGGATTTTGGATTTTAGATCGAAATGTAAGTTTTACAATAAAAGTTTTGGTGATAAGACCTCTTGTGAATCCGCGAGGGTAGGTACCACTACCCTGCCTATTTCTGCTGTGAAGCAGTAATGCGTTATGGTTTGAAGAGTAGGGCAGCCGTTGTAACTATACTTGAGACCTTAGAACTTATATCTCAAGGTGGGTGGCGCATTTACGTCTTAGATGTCTATGGGCTCCAGTAACCATTTAATATCAGGTGCGCTGTGAGTTCGTCCACCTATCTAAGCAATAAAAAAGTTCAGAGAGTTAAAAAAAATATATCGCACGCCTCAAAAGAATATTTAGAGAACTTAACAAAACATTGATTACAACGTTTTAAAACAGTATTACTGTTTTATGTTGTAGCTGTATGTTTTTGAAATCGTAATTTTTGCTACATAAATGAATGCATTGCGAAAGGGAATACGAGCTGAAAGCTATTATTACCGAAACAGAATATCACGTTAACTAGTACATCATTTTATACGAAACAAAAATTGAATGATGAGGTGTGATAGATGAAACGCCCGCGAACACGACCGACCACAGTTTTTTAAAATTTTTTAATATTTATTCATACGTAATTATTTGTTATTTTGCAACGTACTTGTGATCTGATAGTTTTAAGCAAGTGAGATCGCAGTTCGGGAAGATTGTTTGACAATTTATAATTTACTGGTGATAGGACCTCTTATGAGTATTGCTTCACGGCAGAAATAGGCAGGGTGGTGGTACCTACCCGTGCGGGCTCAAATATGCCTTAACACCAGTAATTACGAAAAATTATAAATGTTGCGGTTTTGATGTTTATTCAACGGAGAAGTCATTCGTAAAAAGTTATTTAGTATGTATTTCATCAGAAATCGGGAAACCTGCCAGTAGGATTCGAACACCGGCACAGTCGCATCGGTAGATACGAATGCACCGGACCTGTTATCCTTTGGGCTACGACGACTTCATAATTAGTCGCTGTCTTCATATTGTAATTAAATAACTGGCTATTATAGTAATAATAATAGTATTTAAAAGAGCATTCGAAAAAACAAGCCTTAAAATTGGATATTATTAAGTTACGTAGATGAACCTACGTAGTTAAAACCGTTACCATAGATGTAAAATGCCAAAGACATTCTATTCTATTTATTTTATTCATAATTTTTTGTATGTTCTATTTTTTCTTAAAACTTATGTCGTTCGAAAAGAATGCGAATTTACACGTCTTATTTTCGATCGACAATAGTGTTGATCGAAGCGTCTAGTATAACAATAATCGAATATAATTTCTTATCCTCATACAACTAAAGTTTACCGTAAAGTTTTTACGCGCGTGCAAATATTTATTCCGTCGGCAAAATCAAACGGTACATCGTACAGCTCGGTACACACTAACGCACGCGGAATTCATTTAAACAATGTTTTAATGCATTCTTTAAGATACGAACTTTGTCGATACCTTCTATTTTATTTTTATATTTATACCAGTCTATTCTAAGCTTTTTTACCCGAAGGGGGTCCATACAGAAATAATGAAAATAATATTAAAATTAATATAAGAAAAAACTAACTTTTTAATCCTAAACTAACTTCTTCAAATTGTTTGTAATTAAGTATTTTTGTGTGGAATACAAAAAGCTTTATTATTATCATTATTATTATTCTAAGCTTAACCACAATTGGGTTTTAATCGATTTCCTGTTTACGCTTAAAGCATTAAAGACAGTTTATTGTTCTCTCTATACATTTGATTACATGTTATAGGAAAATTTATATATTTTTTTTTCAGAAGTTACAATCGGCTTTACAGTCACATTGACAATGATAATAAATGAGGCAAGTCCAAGCGTTACTTCGTACGATTCACATTAAAACACATCTAAGTTAGTATATAGTATACAGTGGATATATTAAAGCATTGCGGTTCACGATCGCTGTATTTTCCCGCGCGGCTGCCGCATGTCCTACTTGCAGGGAAACTGTGACAGACAAACACTTTGGCACTTATTCTTGTTGAACTTTCACTTATTACAATTAGAGCATGGTCGGTGCGTGCGTCTTACTTTAATGCACGTACTTTTGCAAAAACATTACTTTCGGCTGCACGATCTGTTCAGGTGTTTATTTTTCCAACTAATGACTCTATCACTATGACTATTATTTTGTTAAATAATTTGGATGAGGTGAAAAAATCCATGTAAGTAATTTTTGAATGTGCATCTGTAGTCCGTTATGCTGCGTCAATGTCACTCAGTACATTGAGACATTAAGTAAATGTCTATTGGACTGAAACAATAGCATAGACCTATATAGTAGGGACCGAACATATTCTTCTATACCATAGAATACTTCAGTGTTCTATACGTACAATTGCCTATATAAATAGCACCCATTTTGAAGGCACACACATAAACATATATCTATCTCGTTCTCACTCAGCACTGTAACTCGCAGGAAAACAATATAACATTATTTCAGTGCGTACATAAAGTGAAACATGAATTTACGTAAATACCTAATGAGGCCTAAAATCCGCTATGTTTAGCGCACCAAATGTCATTGTCAATCAGTTCAGCCGTCTGTCTTAGGTTGTACATTATTTATCAATTTTGATATCGATTTAATATGATTGCATATATCATTTTTTTTTGTTGATGTTTCATTTCCATAGATTTCATACTTCAGTGAACAATAGTTGTTCTAATGACAAATCGGAGCCAAGAAGTGCGGTGGTTCAAAAGGCTTTACAACATGACCTACCACCACTTCAAGATCTTATTTAAAGAACCGTAACTTTTCACGTTAAATTTCTACAAGTAGGTTTATTTAGTATTGAATTAATTAGCCGATACAACCTAATGTTTCCGGTCGTATCAACGCTGCCCTCATTTTCAATGTAAGCTTTTGATGATTTAAATTGGAACATCAAGATCGTATCGTCTTTTCGTAAACTAATAAACAATCTTAAAAATATATATATGTGGGAATATTTAGGTGTAACCATTGGCCACACCGACCTGACAGATGACAGATGGTGCATGAAGTATAAGTGACAGATTGATTAAGACGAAATAAGAAAAGACGTATATTTTTGTGAACTGATGATTAAATAAAATTTAACAAATTCGCTAATTTCATTGTGCACCGCGATCCCACAAAACTTTGGGGGCTCGTCCGGGATCGAAATAGACATCAAGATCGGTGATCAGTGTACAAAAGTTGCGAACAAAGACTACGCACACGGGAAAAAGTGAGGGTATTTTCACATTTCAAATTTCACGTGAAGACGTTTACAAAGAATTCTATTGATAGTAAAATGCCTCGGAAGGGTGCTAAAGAAGACGAAGAATGCTTTGCTGAACCTGCTCCACAAATTTCCTTCTGCGAATTAGAAAAATCTATGACTGCATTTTCTGGTGACGATGCATACGGCGTGGATACCTTTATAAAGGATTTTGAAGATATCGCTAATCTCATGCAATGGACGGGCATTGAAAAACTGATCTACGCAAAAAGGCTTTTGAAGGGGACAGCAAAATTGTTCCTGAGATCTTTGACTGGTACGACTACATGGGAACTCTTGAAAACGGGATTAAAAGAGGAATTTGGACTACATCTGAACAGCGCAGCCATTCACAAGACCATATCAAATAGGAAGATGAAACCAGGTGAAACCTACCAACAATATTTTTTGCAACTCAAAGAACTAGCAGTACTCGGAAATATTGAAGATGACGCCCTAATGGAATACATCATTGATGGCATCCCTGACAATGAAATGAATAAAACTATACTATATGGAGCTTCCAACATCAAAGAATTTAGGAAAAAACTTGATTTATATGCTGAAATAAAGAAGAAATGTCGAACGTCAAACAAAGCTTATAATCAATCAACAACATCCAAGCCTACAACATCTGGATGGAAGAAACCATTACCTAAGAAGAGATGTTTCAACTGCGGAGACCTAGATCATGAATCTTCAGGCTGCTCTAAAGGAATAAAGTGCTTCCGTTGTAATGACTTTGGACATAAGTCAACTGACTGTCCCAAAAATATAAAGAAGACTCTAGAAATAAAATGTAACAAGAAGAATGATAGCCAAGCACCCTACAAAGAAGTTATGATCAATAATGTTATGGTAAAATCACTTATTGACACTGGCAGTGATGTGAACCTAATGAATGAATCTACATTTACTCAAATACATGGCGACACTTGTAACTACCATCCTGA